CAGTGGGCGGGCGGGAGGGGCCGGGCCAGGGAGGGGCTGGGAGTAGGGGGCGCCCCAAGCCTGAAGCGTGCGTGCATGTGCCCGGCTTGAGGCCTGCGGGCCAAGTCTTCGTGAGCCAGGCAAAGCCTGCACGGCTCAAACGGTGCATACGGTGGTGGACAGCTTGCACAGGTCTCACCTAGCTAGACCTAGGACGTGCATTTGCAGAAAGCCCACTCGGGCCCAAATCTGTTGGTTCTAGAATCTTCTGAACAACCACCTGCTTTAGCCTAAATCATGCTTAGGCTCAGCCCCTCCTAGGCCTAGGCTGAGTCAACTTGGCCCTGACCACTATGAAACCCAAAGCCTCCTGAGGCCAGAACCTCCTCAGGCCTTGATCAGCCCCAAAACCTACGGGACCCACACCCCACTGTGCCCCACCAAGACTGCTTGCTTCTTTCCCAAACAGGCCAAGCCAGAATGGCAGGGACCGAGGCCTGTGACCCTTTGGAGCAGTTCACCAAAATCAAAGAACTGGAGCTGATGCCGGGAAAAGCCCCGGAGGAGGAAAGGGTGGAGGGAGAGCATGGGGTGTGCAGAGAGAAGGGGCCCTCGAGCCCTGGGGAGGCGGAGGCCGAGCTCCCCCAGGGGGCTCTCCAGACCCAGGTCCCCGAGGGAGAGGCAGCTCTGGTGCTGGCCACCGCGGAGGAGAGCGAGAAGCAGATCCTGACCCTGCAAGCCGTGAGCCTCATGTCGGAGGACGGGGAGCTGCAGGACATGGGCTGGCTGACGCCGCAGCTCCAGGAAGGGGGGCTGCAGGTGCTGGTGCCGCCGGGCGGGGGGCTGGAGTCGCTGCTGTGGGTGGAGGACGAGTCCCAGCAGAGCCTGCACCCCTACGTGGCCATCGATATCCCGGAGGAGCTGTACTCACTGCAGGAGATGGAAATGATGCAGTTTCAGGTTCTGGAGGAGAACGTGGCCGTGGCCGTGGCCGGTGGAGACAGTGCATTGCTGGCGAGCCCGGATGAAAGCACCAGGCTGATAAAGGTACAGAGAGTTTTAAAAAACGGACCCCTTATGCAGTATTGAGTCTATACGGGCAGTTTAAAATTAAACACAGACAAAATAATTCCCAAGAAAACCCTGGGGGACCTCGCGTTCTTCTTTAAGAGTTTAAAAGTTACACTAATTAGAATACTACGAGGTGCATTGTGTTTTGTTTTGTTTTGTTTTTTAAATAGTATTTTTCACCAAAACCCTCGATGGCTTAATAATTACAGCTTAAGCGTTTCATTGCAATGGCTGATCTGTGCTACTCTGATTTTATTTCCCTTTACGTATTTTTCGGTTTCATCAAGGCAAAGAGTTGAATCGTCTTGTAATGTGCTTGAATGCTTATTTTTGTTTATCAGTTTGAGACAGGTCAGGAGGAGGCCCAGCCACCGGCAGAAGGAGGAGTCGAGGAAAACACACAAAAGCAAATCTTCTTTCTGGAAGCCAGGCCCGGAGACGAAGGAAGAAATGAAATTGTCCTGACGATCTCCAACTTAAACATCGCGGAACCCGAAGATCAACTTGCATCCAGTCAGCCACGTGCTGAAGGAAACCGCCCTGCGGAAAACGGGAAAGAGCCCCAGGGTAGGCCAGCCCGTTCTGGGTGACAGAGCCGCACGGACCGGCAAGGGGACCGTCGTTGATGTTTTCAGCGGTTGACTTCTCATTGCTTTCAAAATATCAGGAAATGGGAGAAATTTTAAATTAATGTTCTGGGTTGTAAGTCAAGTCCAAAAGAGAGCTGTGTTTTGCACACGAATGTTTTAAAGGCCTAGCGAAAACACTTCTGCAAAGCGCTGTAAACATAAATGGAAGGTCCTGACCTGCTCCCGGCTTGCAGCCCCGTTGGGGGTGGGGGGCCAGGGATGGGGACAAGAGCAAACGCTACACAGGGCCAGGAGCATCGGCGTCCGGGAGGTCAGCAGAGACGCGTTCTGCGGAAGGGCGAGTCTAAGTGAGACCAGAAAATAGGGCTCAGAAGCCATTAAGAGTGGGGATCACGGCTCCAGGAAGCAGGAAGTGGCCTGCGGGTACAGCTTCGTAATGACAGTGGACAGTCCCACAGTGTTGGGGGCGCCACATAGGTGGGTGGTCGAAGAGGGAGGTCAGGCTGGAGTAGGAAGGACAGTGGAAGCCATGTTAAAACAGGTCAAATCTTGGCAGCTCTGAAGATGAATTTGACCCTCGAAATTATTTGCTTTGCTTTTGAAAAATATTTAGGTTTTCATTTGTTTTAAATCGAAAGAGTTCACCCCCCCACCCCCCAAAATCTCAGTTTCTAGCTCATTTTTAGAAAGTCCTATCTGGCGACCGCTTGGCTCTGTTTCCTCCTCCAGCAACTGTGACGAGGGCCAGGAAGTGACTCAGTTTGGAAAGTCACACTGCCACCCCCTTTCCTTCCTACACGTGCTCAGAGTCATTCGCTTAGGGTTATTGCCTCCGGCTACAGTAGGTCGTTGCTATAAAGTAGTTTCTCTATTTATCTATTTAAAACAAGAGATGGGATGCCCCAAATTCCCGATTCCTAGTTCATTTTTATGTTGTTTCTTTTTAATATATTCCCCAGTACCTAATCCTAGAATACCTCCATCACCCCCCAAATGGATTTTAAACCTCTAAAGAAAGACGTTTACGACTGTGTGAACTCTGTGCCTCGTTCCTGCAGGAGGAAAACGAACCTTCCAGTGTGATTTCTGCGCGTTCGCCTCTTCCAGGATTTCGAGTTTAAATCGTCACATGAAAACGCACACCAGCGAGAAGCCCCACACCTGTCACCTGTGCCTGAAGGCCTTCCGCACTGTGACGCTCCTGCGGAACCACGTCAACACCCACACAGGTGACCCCACGAGGAGGCCGCGAGCCGGGCTTCGGGGCTTCGAGAGCGCGAATCCGGCTCTTTCGACGTTATGGTCGTAGACGTCGGATTTGTCTCGTTTTCCTCGATTTCTGTTAAAAACATTGAACGCAACAGTGGGTCTTCTCATCTCTCTCTGGGGTGGGTGGCGGGGGGAAGTTTGATGGTTTTAAGAGCCACTTCTTCATTTTTAAAGCGTTTCGAGACCGCGCGTAATTCACACGTTACAAATTCCCCGGAAAACGTGTGGTTAAATCTTAAAAGGATACGTTATGTGATTTTTACAGGAACCAGGCCCTACAAGTGTGGTGACTGCGACATGGCGTTTGTCACCAGTGGAGAACTGGTCCGACACAGGCGTTACAAACACACTCACGAGAAACCTTTTAAGTGTTCCATGTGCAAGTACGCTAGCGTCGAAGTAAGTTCACTCTCACACGTAAAGCTTCCTGGCGTCTTATTAAGAAGTTGCTGTAAAAGTTATGTTAAATAAGCCTAACTGTAGCACCTCTTACAAAAAAGGGTTTATTAAAGATATTATTCACACATAATCCATGCGGGAAATAGTCCCCATTCTGTTTTTCAAATTGAAGATAGAAAATTGGATTCGCTAGCGTCGAAGTAAGTTCACTCTCACACGTAAAGCTTCCTGGCGTCTTATTAAGAAGTTGCTGTAAAAGTTATGTTAAATAAGCCTAACTGTAGCACCTCTTACAAAAAAGGGTTTATTAAAGATATTATTCACACATAATCCATGCGGGAAATAGTCCCCATTCTGTTTTTCAAATTGAAGATAGAAAATTGGATTCCTTTTTTTTTTTTTTTTCCCCTGATTACCAGCTAGGGAAAGCGATATATAAAGGTGTAGAAATTACAAATAAAAAAACTACATGTGGAACTTGAGAAATAATTCTCAAATTAAGTTCAAAGTTCTACCTAGCATTTTATGTGGTACTCAGTTCCACAGAATCAAACTGTATTTGCTCTAGCGTAGAACACAGCTCCAAAATCTGAATTTTTGCTGAAATTTTTGAGCTTACTTCAAGGGCCTTTGGTCAGAGACAAAGCAACTTGCTCGAAGATTTAAACATAGCCATTTCCACTCTTACTGCAGAGAAACGACCTTTTTCAGACTTCAGTTATGTGTCTGGTCATTTCCCCTGGATGGGTTTTTTTATACCTTCTAGCAGGGCGAGTGGCTGTGTGAATGTCACGACATGTCACTAACACTACAGTTGGTGTTCGCTGACGGTTTCCTACAATTAAGTTTTGAGGGCTCCGCTGCCATAGCAGGACACTTGCTGGGGCCTGATTTTGAGCCCAGTTGGAAAGAATAATACACTGAAACGGAATGAAGTTAAAAGGCACATGACCGAAGTTTAAATATAGCAATGATGCAATCACGTCCCATAAATGAGAAAATTTCATGGACCGGCTCAGAATTCGATTCCAAGAATTATTATTTTTTTTCTGCTATTCCTATTTTTGAAAATGATTTCTCATCTGAGTTAAAGGTTGTGACTTTAGTTTGAAAACACACAAAACGAAGGCTTCAGTGAACAAAGCCATCTGAGGACCTTCGGCCCAGCGTCCCGCCGGTTCTCAGCGCAAACTGGGCGAGGTCCGCTGAGCCCTCCGGGGTCAGCCTCTGCACGCAGCCTGTGCACGGGCCTCGGCGTACGGGCCAGCGGCTACTGCCACCAAGTCCTTTTATTGCAGTTCCCAAGTCTTGCCGTGCTGGTCTGCTTTGAGGGGGGGCAGCCTAACTGCCCTGCACCCCAACATCATTTCTGTAGACACGCAGCAGCACGAATGCAAGGAAACATGGTGCAGATAACCCCGGCTGGTGAGAGCTTCGGAGCCCCTGCCCCCCGCCCCCCGCCCGGCCCTCATCCTCCCTTGCAAAGCCGTCCAGAGAAGGTTCCCTCATGAGTCACACCACTCGTCAACCCCCGCATGCTACAATTTTAAAGATTCTTTTTGGTTTGCTTTCTGACATACTTGAAGACAGCCACTTCTAAAAATCTAAAGTTTTCCATTTGAATCTCGATCTCCATTCTCTGTCTTCTTCTGGTCTCGGATGTTCTTCTGGCTTCTGTGTGCTTGTCACATACCGGGGAAGACACTGAGTGTCACCTTCCTGAGACCACAGGCGGGGCTGCTGGAGGCTCTGTAGCATCTGTCGCCGGAGCATAGTTGATTGCTTTCATTTCTGCTAGAGGTAGATAAGGGCCTGAAGGACGTGAACACAGAATAAGGACAGTAAGTTCTGGAATGTAACAAAACAGCCGGGCAAAAAAAAAAAAAAAAATTGTTTCCCTTTAAACTAATTGCCTGGGATACGTAATTAAATTAGAGTTTCTGTTCTTCTAGTTAAAAGTTAACTTATTATATAAAGAAACTGGAAACACCTGGAACCTATCTTTCATAGCAAAAAAGGCCTTCCTCCGCCGTGTGTCACTTAGGGCTAGAGGACTTGGACCTGAGAAATGCCTCGGTCGGGTGTCGGTCCAGTAACTAGCTACTGTTTTAAGGTTCTCACTTTATTTATGCAAAAACCTCAAAACGTTCTGGCCGCTGCTTCTGCGGCGTGGCCCGAACTTCACAGCTATTGAGAATAAGTCGCCTTAGAAATGAAAATAAAGTCAAGCGTGGCACTGAGCAGCTAGATTTCAATTTTCTCTGTGTAAAGGGAAGTTGAATATGAGAGTGTCTTGAAACTGCTGCTGAATATTCTCGAAGGATCTTAACGCGCTCACACCACGCGAAAAACACCGTCCGCGACAGAAAACGAAAAGAAACGGCTTTCTCGTGTTGTTCGATGTGCGAGATACGTTCTCATGTGAAAATCGGACTAATTTAAGCATCTATTTGCCATGCGGGTAAGTCGAGGTGTCTCTAACCTGCCCTCCGTTTGCTAGGCCAGTAAGCTGAAGCGCCACATTCGGTCGCACACGGGCGAGCGTCCCTTTCAGTGCCGGCTCTGCAGCTACGCCAGCAAGGACACCTACAAACTGAAGCGGCACATGAGGACGCACTCAGGTAACAGCTCCAGGTGCCGCAGGCCGAGGCCGTAGAGCGCGGCCTCGTTTTCCAAAGCGAGCTTGTGAAAATGGCTCCTCGGAGGCAGACTCGACGTTGCCGAGTGGGAGCGACTGCCTCGTGCCTTCCTAGCATGGGGACCCTCGTGTTTGTTCCGTGTCGGGGGGCCCCCATGGACGCCAGGCTGTCACCCCACTGTGATGGGGGAGACGCCATCGCGTATTGGCTTCCATCGGCGTTTCAGGATTTAAAAGTCGACTCCTCAATTCTCCCTGCGACGTGAAGGCGGCACGCACAACAGAGTGTGCTGGTCTCATAGTGCGGTTGCCTGATAGTTGTGTAGAGAGTGTGTTTACGTGTACTTCTCGGCTCTTCAGACCGAGGGTGGGGACTCGGTAATCTGTTGAAAGGAGGAGTAGCCACCAGATGTTAGGAGAGTCACCCATCGGGCCGCTGTCCACGCAGCGGTACTGGATGGAACGCTGTCTGGGCTCGATGGAGGGTTTTTCTACTCATGGGGGGTAAACATGTGAGAAGACGGGGCTCAGGGAGCAAAGGACGGGCTTTCGGCCCCGGGCGCCCTTTAGTGAAGGCCGGGGCCTGCGGGGCAAAGCCACCCTGCAGAGGGCCACCTCTGTTCCCATGCCACAGGTGAGAAGCCTTACGAGTGCCACGTCTGCCACGCACGCTTCACCCAGAGCGGCACCATGAAAATACACATCCTGCAGAAGCACAGCGAGAACGTCCCCAAGTACCAGTGTCCGCATTGTGCCACGGTCATCGCAAGGAAGAGCGACCTGCGTGAGTGTGCGGGGGGAGGAGGTGTCCGGGGACTTCCTTGTGCAGGGAAGGCTGCGGTGCCCTGGGCCCTAAGCCGGCCGGATTCCGGGCAGGCAGCCTGGAAGAGGTTTCTTCCGGAGGTCCTGTGCTGCCATCTGGTGGCTGGGTGGCACAAGTGCAGCTTCATAGCATCTTGGCTGTCGCCACTCAGGAAGTAGGATGCTACTGGCATCTAGTGGGGACGGGCCAGGGAGGATGCTCACCGTCCTGCATGCACAGGAAGGCCCAGCAGGAAGGGATCGGCCAGCCCCGAGTGCTAGGAGTGCTGGTATGGGAACCCCAGTCCGGAGGGCGGGGGAGGTCAGCCTAGCAGAAGGCAACACTCTTCCCATACACGTACATATAACGCTCCGCGACCATTTTAGGTGTCCATTTGCGCAACCTGCACACTTACAGAGCAACAGGGGTGACGTGCCGCTTCTGTTCTACCGTCTTCCATGAACGCTACGCCCTCATCCAGCACCAGAAAACTCATAAAAACGAGAAAAAGTTCCAGTGCGAACACTGCAGCTATGCCTGCAAGCAGGTATTGTTCCAGTTGGCGCGGGGGGGCAGAGGGAGGCAGTGGCATATGGGGGAAGGGATGGCCGCCGGGGGATTTTTCTGCCTCTTTGAAAAGAAACAGCATGCTTTGAGCAAAGAGACTATTCAGAGTGACGAGCCAGCAGGTTAAAGCCGCAGGCCTTCAAGTAAGGTTCATGGACCCTAGAGGTCCTCGACACCAAGCAGGGTCGTGACGTCAAAACCACTGTCATTAACTAGCAAATCAATGCCGACACGTCGCCTGCCCTTCTCGCTATGCCAACGTTGGCACTGTCGTCGCAGAAGCGATGGCGGTAAGAGACTATTCAGAGTGACGAGCCAGCAGGTTAAAGCCGCAGGCCTTCAAGTAAGGTTCATGGACCCTAGAGGTCCTCGACACCAAGCAGGGTCGTGACGTCAAAACCACTGTCATTAACTAGCAAATCAATGCCGACACGTCGCTTGCCCTTCTCGCTATGCCAACGTTGGCACTGATGTCGCAGAAGCGATGGCGGCTTAACGGGAATCAAGGCGGTGACACCCAGCGGGACTGGTCACCCCTGTCCTCCCCACCTCCGTGCACTGGCAGCACAAATAAAGGGCCGTTGGACTTGAGGACGTCCTCGACGAAGCAGTAAAAGTTATCAGCTTTATTCGGGGTGCCCTCAACGCCCGCATGTTCCATAGTCTGTGTGCCGAGCTGGGAAGCTGTACAAAGCAGCTCCGCTCTCTTCCGAGGCAGGAGGCATCTGGAGGGTGGCGCCCGGAGCGGTGTTTGAGGTGCCCACTCAACGAGCCATTTTTCCATGAACCACCATTTTTACTTGGGAGAAAAGCCACAAACTCTGCTTATTCGGTTTTTAGATATCTAGAAACACCCCATACCCTTTTCTTGAAAGTAGATAAAGCAAACCCATCACGTCAAGGAAAATGTATGGCCAAGGATACAATTTCAGCTTTCGAGAGGAAATGAGAATTTTGGAAATCCACCACCTTGAGCTTGATAGCTTTTTGGTTCTTAAAGACTTTTCTGATGAGATTGGAGCAATTTTTTATATGGTGCATTGACATGTGTCAGAAGCTGTCCATAGCATGGCACGCCGATAGCTTCCAAATGACCGATCCATTATTTTACGAAATCGTGCTTGGGTGATCCACTCAGAGTGTAAGATAGATGAACAGATTTTCGTGTAATTGAGCACAAAAAGATCATTGGTATCGGTTCAGGTTCCAGGTCTTAACGAACTCTCGAGAAATTACCCGTTGGTTGAGTTTTGGCGTGATACCAGGGAATGTCCACATTCTGTGAGAAAGCTATTCGAACTCTTCTCCCTTTTCCAAATACGGATCTGTGCGTAGATTTTCTCCACGTATCTCGACCTCGGCCACAGACCCCAGCAGGACGAAAGCAGAAGCAGGGATCAGAATCGGGCTGTCTTCTTTTCATTAGGTTGCTAGTCTTAGAAATAAACGTACGGGATGACCGCTTGAATATGAATTTCAGATAAACAGATACTTTTGTATGTAAGTACGTTCCAAAGAGTACAGCTTATATTTTAACTGGCGACCTTATCTATGAGGCCAGATAGAAATGATTTTGTTTTGATAAAAGGATAACATATGTTTACGGAAATAAGTTAATATGTAGTTGGTTTCTTGTTATTTTCACATCGATATTTTTCCTGTTTTTAATTTCTCGATTTTGATGCCTAATACGGTCAATATTAATAGCTATCGCCCCATAAACGAAAGCTCCTTGGAGTGTTGATAATTTTTAAGAGCATAAGGGGTCCTAAGAGCGAAAGTTCGGGATTGAACTGCTGCCTTGGAGCCCTATGCTGCTGTGATGTTTGGTGGTGACCGAGGTGGGAGCCAGTGCTTTCTGTGGTTCAGAGCGTGAGCTGGAACTAGTAA